CCCCCCCCCCCCCCCCCCCCCCCCCCCCCCCCCCCCCCCCCAGATCTGCTCCCAGATCCTCCGCCTTTGCCTCCGGGAGCTCTTCGAATTCCGGTTCATGCAGACGGACCCGAACTGGGCGAACTTCTTCTACGACGCGGAGAGGCACAAGGTGGGCCTTCCCTCGATTCCAGCCGGGCCAAGGGGGGAGCCCTTCTGCAGGGGGAGGGCTATTGTTGCCGTGACCCTCAGCATCGCCTTCCTTACAGGTCACCCTGCTGGACTTCGGAGCTAGCCGGGATTTTCGTAAGGAGTTCACTGACCACTACATTGAGGCAAGTCCCGAGTTTCTGCCCAGGCCGTGCAGGGGATTGTGGCAGGGCCCTTCCTAGAGGCCCCCCTCACCCCCCCTGGTTCCCTCCTCTCCCTTCATGAGCCCCGTGGAGGGCCGGCTCGCCCCATTGGCACGCTTGGTGCAGGAGGGGGCCCATGGGAGGAAGGAGGCGAGCAGGGAGGGCCTGAAGGCTGTTCTCCGTGCCCAGGTGGTGAGAGCCGCTGCTGATGGCGACAGAGAGAAAGTGCTTCAGAAGTCAAAGGACCTGGGATTCCTGACGGGATTTGAAAGCCAGGCAAGTAGCAGGGAGGAACGGGAGGCCTGGCTTTACAAGGGTCTTTGGGGGGCTGGAAGGGTAGCCGTTGCACCCCCTCCATGAGCCCGAGGAGCTCGTTTGCCTGCCTCGCCCCTTTGGGAAGGCAGGGAGGCTGCCGGGCTGACCGCAGCTGCCCTCCCCGCTCGCCCCAGGTCTTTGAAGCGGCCCACGTGGATGCGGTGATGGAGCTGGGCAAGGCCTTCTCGGCCCCGGGGCCCTTTGACTTCCGCGCCCAGGACACCACCCGCTGCGTCCAGGACCTGATCCCTGTCATGCTGGAGCACCGCCTGTGCCCGCCCCCAGAGGAGAGCTACTCCCTGCACCGCAAGATGGCCGGGGCCTTCCTCCTCTGTGCCCGTCTCGCTGCCGCCGTGCCCTGCCGGGAGATGTTTGAAGAGGCCTACAGCCGGTACACGGGCCAGAAAGGTGCCGCCCATTCGGCAGAGGAGCAGGGGGAGGCCCCTTCCAGGCTGGGCTGAGGGTCTCCGCCACTTCCACGTGGTCCCGGCTGCCTTGGCCCTCAGGTGGCCCCCCGTGTCTGCAGCGCCTTCTGAGAGGTCAGCTCCCTGTAAGGAGTGAAGAGGGCCGGCCTCCGTCCCCTCCCTGGGCCAGGAACCAGCCTTCCTCTCCCAGGAAACCCTGCTGCTTCGGGGCCGCAAGCAAAGCCTTCTCTGCCGCGTTTCTGTGGGAAGCACGGGGGGGGCTGTGGGTTGCCCCACAGGGGAAAGGACAACGGACTCCGGGGCTGCAGAGGGAAGAGAAAAGGGCCTTTTGTCACTGGGTGTCTTGTCCGGGTGTCCGTTGCGCAGCTCTGGGTAAACTGCTGCCCTCTAGATAGGCTGGGCTATCACTCCCATCTTCCCCAGCCAGCACGGACCACATTCTGGAGGAGCTCTGCAGGAGAGCAGAGTGTCCAGGCTGCCCTGCCGGAGGGGGTGATGGCTCCCGTGTAGGAGCATCAGCAACAGGCTGACCAGCCCCCCCCCCAACTCGCAATGGGGGGGGGGAGCCCCCTTGCCTTTGGTGTCATCCCTTCTGGCCGGTTTACCTCTCAAGAGCTTTTGTGGGGGCCACCTGACCTCTGGGTTTGTGGAAGGCTGGCCAGGAGCCAGAATAAAGACAACTGACCATCTCGGAGGCTGTAGATGAAATGGGGCTGAGCCACCCCAAGGCTCCTCCAGGGGATGGGGGGGGCAGCCTTTCCGTGCCTTTATCTGTTTTTGGGCCCTTGGGTCTGAGTATCACGGGGAGCAGTGAGAAGGGGGGGGGGGAGAAATCTCTGACACCCATCCCCCCTTGGGGGGGGGAAGGCCCAGAGTGGCCCAGTTGCT